AGTTAAATTCTTCTTTCATTTATCTGAAAAGATTTGCGAGATTTTCAATACATTTGATTGACCAACGTTTCCTTAAAATATATTAAAATAAAATATTACATAATTTGCTTATTTATAAAAATGTCCAAAAAAGTAACTAAAATAAATTGTTTGGTAAATAGAGAAAAAAAGTTTTTTTTTTTTGAATATCATTCTTTAAAAAATGTTATATCTGTTGTACTCTGTGAGATAAGTTTCTCAAAAGAAACTCAAATTGAAATCAATTTTCAAATTGTAATTGACTTTTAAATAGTTAAAATGCTAAGCTAGTTTTGATGCGATTAAGACCTACCCCTAGATCAAAGATCAAAGTTTTGACATGCGCATTACAAGTCTTGCCAAAAAGCGCCAAGAAACCACAACTCAAACCCCAACCCCAGCCCTGTGGGGCTCATGCGCTTAGTCCCAATGCGATGCAACCCTGGTGCGCAGATAAGGCAGCTATGATTATGTGTGGGGCGTCCGAGTCTGTGGTATAGTTTGTTTGGGGATGTGGTTGGGGTTTTGGGATTGAATGTTGCCAGGGGGCTGTTTTTTTCTTTCGCCAAAAAAGGGTTACGGCACGGTCTGTCTGGCTCCCAGTTGATGCTCTTGTTGTTATTGTTGATGTTGCTGTTGCTGTTGTTGTTGATGTGTTACGTGTTTTTTTGTTAACCAGTCCGTTGTACAGATGTTGTGCTGATGCCGCTCTGTTGGCTGTACTCGTATTGTATGTGTCACTTGGGTGAACTGTGCCATGTTTCAAGCTGTGTGTTGCCGCTGATATCCTTGTTATTGTCCTAGCTGCTGTCGCTGTCGCTCTTTCTGCTCCTGTCCAGTGACAATGCCAATTTGCATTTAACACCGAGTGTTAGCCACTGGGTGACAGGCATTAAATAATTAACGCGCCTTAAACATTTACAAGGCCAGCGTGGGCCAAGACAATAAAAATAACAAAAGCATAGGCGGTCAGAGAGGGAGAGAGAGAGAGAGAGAGAGAGAGAGAGAGAGAGAGAGAGGAAGGTAGAAAGGGTGAGGCAACGAGAAAATGTCAAGAGATTTGAATAAAAAGTAAACTTGATATGCTAAAACAGAGAGACCATTGAGCTAAGCCAATAAAATCAGCCAAATAGTAAGTAAATAATACCAGTAGAGAATGCAAGCGAGGGCGGTATGTGAATCATTTGAATATATATTTATTTAATAAACATTTGCAAATAGCAAATGCACAGCCAGAGGCACGCAGCAAAGAAACAACTAAGTCGAGAAAGATCGACTAAAGATCCTAAAACAATGTCTTTACCAATCCATTCAGTCTTACACTTAAGATAGATATTCAAACCAATACCAGGACTCATTGTGTATAGATACGTGTGTAATGTGAATAAATAAATATTTTGACGGAATTACAATAGAAAGCTCAAAATGGTAGCTCATATTTTATCGGTATTGCGAGAATTAAGTAAACTTGATCTGCATTTGTAATAATCTCTAGCACTTAAAGTCTCTGAGATCAGCGTGTTTATACAGACGAACATAGAACATGGAATATATATACCCCACTTATCAATTTGAAGTTGGTTCAGTATATAAAACTCATGTATGTATATATATGTAGCACGAATAGAGGCGATGGCAAATCAAAAGTGAACAGATTTGAAAACCATGCAGACGTGCAACGAAGAGCGACACACGCTAAGCATTGCAACACACACACACACTCGAAAATGTTCCCAATCGTGTGTGTGTGTGCGTGCCGCTAGTGAAGCGCACATGACGTATTGGCACACGTACAGGCCACAATACTCGCAACCACCCAACAGGCACCACCTTGTCTGATTCAGGTACTGTGGCGCCCGTTTCGGGCTTTGTCTTTGGGTTTGTGTTCGGGTCCGGGGCCGGGCTCAGATTCAGGTCCCACAGCAGGGCCACGTGAAAGCCGGGCATATCTTGATTGTTTGCATGTAAATCTGCACAAAATCCCCAAAGTACCAATGGCAGCAGCAGAGGATGCAAAGGATGCCGATCCAGTGAATGTGACAACTGCTGTGCCCCGAATGATGATGGGGCAGATGATGATGATGACGATAATGTCCTTGGATGCTCCCTGGCACAAATCGCAATCGCAATCCCTAGCACAATTGAGCTGAGTGCCAATTGCCAATCTGTTTGGCCTGGTCGTTACTCGCGCGCACAGCCACTTGAAGCCAGTGGGAGTTGTTGAATGCCCAACTCTGAAAAATAACACAAATATATTTGATATGCCTAAAAGATGAATCTACACTAATACAAACTAAACTAAAATAAATAATAAATAACAGTCAACTGATAGAATCTTTTGCTTTGAAGAACCTAATATATTATAGGGAATGAATTTCCATATTAACTTATAGTTCGATCTTAAGTATGTATGTAGTTTATTTAATATTTTTCATATCTGATGTGGCGTAGAGCACAATCGAAGTTCATCTGGCCATCATTTCGCAGTTATTTAATGTATCAGCTCGAACTACCAGCACTTATGCCTTTTCTTCTACTTGCACTTCTTTTCAGTTACGTGGGCAATTTTTCCGATTTTCTACGATTTTTGCATTGGATTTTTTTCACGTTGTGTTGCCCAACGTGGCTTGGCGGTGTGTGGTTCAGATTTTGGTTCACCGTTTGGCAGTCTTTTGCAGCTATTTACCCCACAGACGAGGGGAGACGCTTCAACTACATTTATTGGAATTTTACAGTAAACTAGCGGAGCCAGGCACGTTTCACGTCAACGCGGAGGATGACAAGGACGTTGAAGGCAATGGTGATGGTGATGGTGATGGTGTTGATGTTGGCAATACGGATGATGGTGAGCACAAAGGACACTACGATATCTGGTATCGTCGCCGCCGCACATAGGCCAAAGCCAAACCATTACATTTGTTCAAGTCATAATGGTTTTGGTTATGCATACCCATTATTTCAAATGCCACAGGATGTTCTTCAAATCTTAAATAATTATGATACAGTTCTCTCTTGAAAGGAATCAGTTTGATTCCTAGTTTTATTCAATTTTTATTTATTTATAAATGTGTTTGTCGAAATTCAGATATAGTTTTTTTCCAAGAGTGAGTTTGCAAAATGTGCATACCTTGTCCACTTATTTGATTGGGTATCTTGCAGTCATGATACATTTTCTGTGTAACTTTTCTGTTCGTCTTTTTTATTTTGTTTTTTTCTTTTTTTTTCTGTCGTTTTGTGTCTCTTTGTTTATGTTTTGTTGTTTGCCAAAGGCGCGTCATACGGGGCGTATGCTTGATGCCGCCCTCTTCGAGGATGTAATTAAAAAACGGCAACAAAAAGCTGCACTGACAGCATGTAAGCTTGCTGCACGACACCGACACTTGAAACGAGAGGGTCCCTCGCTCAAACTCAAACTCAGACTCAGTTTCAGTGGCAGTCCCAAGCCGAATGCCTCAATGCCTGGGATTCGTTTCGACTGAATCGATGAGCTTCGACGGCAGCACACAAAGCAGCCAACGACGATATCCATAGCTCAAAGCTAAATCTCTGCACAAACAGGATATATGTGTATGGCTGGAGTGAAAGTCAGCCAGCCCAGCCATCTAAACCAAATGCATCCCACTCCAAACATCAACCTCTCAACCAACAGCGCCAAGCGTGCCGATGTCCATACCTCGTCTGTTCCGACTTGGTTCTGTAGTCAGTCAGCTTTTGTTCAGCAGTTTTTGTTACTGCTGCTGTTGCTGCTGTTTTTTATGTTATTTCGCTTGCACCGATTCAGTTCACTCTTCCATGTGATTTTTTGCGGATACTTTTTGTGATATTGAACCGGCTGCTGTTGGGAGCACTCAAGGGAAAGCAAAAGCTATCTCCTTCTAGTTGTTGTTCTCGTTGTTGTCGTCAAGCTACTGCCTTGACGTATTTGGTTTAGTGTGATTTGTATGCGTAGCCATTCTCGACACCGACACCGTCCCAGCTTCCCGAACCAATTGTGTTAGCCATTTTTATTCCACATAAGGATCCGAATCGAACAGTATATCTGTGGATTGCGATTTTACGAGCTCAGTCAAAAGAAAGCAGCCGAAAGCTGCAGCTACTTGTGCACATCAAACGGAGCTGAAAGCGAAACACTTACTTGAATCATCTGAATGGACTCGACACAACAGACGGCAGACAACAGACATAAAAAATCGACGGGAAAAGAGGGGTAAATAAGGATTATTGGTTGGAGCGTTAACATGGACCAATAAATGGAAAAAAAAAACACAAACCACGAAATATACTCAATAATAAGGACTTGAATTAAAGGGGTTTCATTTATTTGTTTTATTTCTGTGTTTTTTCTTTATTTGTTTATTATTAATATGATTACCTCAACTTTTCGTAAAATTTCATCATTCAATTAACTGTAGATATTTAATAATTTTGCAGCCAGTACTTGAATTGCGTTGAATTATATTAGATATGCAAATAGATTTGAAATCTAGATTATTTATCTTATCCAAATAGGACAAGACTCCACTCAAAATAAGAATATAATTTGATGGAAGATGCCAATCTATCAATTTTGCTTCTCAAGTCAAATATTTCAAATGCAATCACGAATTAAGAAAACTTAGCATCGCAGCAAAATCTTTAAATTGCATGCCTCAATCTGCTGCATTAAAATCCAAGAACTCAACAGCAGTTGAATTACAGCTGCATCTTAACAAGCGCTTACGACTACCCCAACCCACTTCATCCGGAGTTCGTCATTGCATCGTTGCTTTTCTTCTGAGCGTTTATTCTCTGATGTTCCCGTTGCAACTGTTGCACTTGCATCCGTTACATGGCGGCTTATGAGTGTCCGGCTCTTCATTCCCGATTCCCGGTTGACGTTGTCACTGTCACTGTCTCGCTATGATGATGCTAAGATGGCATGCCCTCTCTTAAAGCAAGAGGGGATATATGAAAAGAAGAAGAAAACATTTAATTGTATTTTGCTTAACTGAATTTAAAGGCCCAAGTATATTAACAAAAGTAAACAGAAGGCAAAAATTGATGTACACATTGGCAAATCGCAAGAGTGATCTAATTGATCTTGTCCAAGCGGCCCGAATGAAGTGTGGTGCGCGAGACAAACTTCTTCTTCAGCGTCTTGTTGTTGTTGGTGACGGTCTCCATGTTGACGTCCTTAAACCGATCCTTGATATACTGAACACGCGCCGGATCAACGTTGCTGCGACGCCGTAGAGGATTGTAATTGGTCTTGCGCAACGGCTGCTTCGGCATCTGCGCCTGTGGCTGCGGTTGCTCCTGCGGCTGTGGGTGTGGTTGTGGCTCCAAAGTGCTCACGTTCTTCAAATTCTGCTCAATGGTCGAATGGTCGAACGGAACGAGGGCGACGCTGGTGGCCTGCTCCATGTCCATATCATCGTAGTGGCCAAGCTTCAAATTGTTATTGTAGCGATTCATCCAGTCCGGCTCCGGCACCAACTGCACTGCCTCCGATTGCATCTTAGGCAGCGGCTCCTTTTTCACCGGCTCAATGTAAGCAAGCATCTGCTTTGCATCTAATAAACAGGAGATAAATATAAATGTCTTAGCTATATATATATATTTATATATATATAAATGACATATTGAGTACAGAATTGAAATCTCAATCGCATATATAATACGTATTTATTATGATAATTTTGATGGTATACATACATATAAGCAATTATGGTGGCATTTTGTTACTCACTGAAAGTCAAGAAGCGCTTCAGCTTCAAGTCCCTAATGGGGACTCTCAATTGATATTGGCGCAACATCCTGTTTTTGGGATAATCGGTTATCGTATCGGGGATAACTCTAAATTTGGTGCAGCCAATATATCTGGCTTTTTGTGTTGGATGTGTTAAATTCACGTTTCTATTGCAGTTCGGTTATTTTCCCTTAGCTCGAGAACAAAATTGATGTAGTACCAGAAAAAATGTTGGAATGAAATGAAATGCTCGACAGATGAGTTTACTCTGTGCTCACTCCCTGACACATCGCTTGAGTGCAATTTCACAGCCTGCTCGTTACCAGCCACCCATTCGCGTTGACACCCATTCCTCAGCCACTGTTAGATTTTTTTTTTGGTTTTTTTTTTGCAAAATCTGCATGCATATTTATAGGTCTGCCGGTTGACAAATATCGCGCAGTGTTGAATCACGGTCCGGCCAGCGGAAGCTTTACTGATTAGCAACCTACTGCTGCCCACTTTAGATTCCGGTCCAGGAGCCAGCAATCAGCCATCATCAACTAGGCAGCAGCCACTAGGCACCAGTCGCCGAAAGTTTACCAAAAAAAAAGTTAGTATGATCTAGTCAAGAGAACTCGACTTGGATATTCCCTGATCCCAGCTGTTAAATATACAAAATGGAAGGTTATATTTTTATTTGGATGTTTCTTTTTTACCATTAGATATCGATTTGTACCAATGTTCCGGACTGAGTGAAACGGGAGCAGTTATCGATAAATTGAAATAAATTTGGTTTGCGTACATACGAAAGTCTATGTTACACACTGGAAGTCTCTAACATTCGCTTCCTTCAGCCTGTTTCATTCTGTTGCACTTCTTTATTATATCCCTTTGTCATTTTTAACGGGCTTAGGGTATACAAAAAAAATCCTTTTTGGAACTGGCTTAAAAAACGCAAACGTCACTCTAGAATAACGAAAATGAAAAAAAAATCCAATGACGTAGTAACATCCGGTATAAAAACTTTGACATGTCTATGTTCTGTAGCCCTTACTTATTTATAATTAAATACGGGTATACTTGGATTTCTCTGTGCATTTGTCTTGTAAATTTATCAAATCATTGCATGCAAAGCTCAAAATTGAGATAGATTAATCGCTTAAGCATACATTTCTGTTTTATATATAACTTAAGTCCTCAAAGTATGATATAAGCAATATACTTAAGATATGCTCTGTTTGTACTAGTACTATATATGCTAAAGGGAATGATTGAAAAACATCGAGCATTTCCAAACTGCATTTCGCAATGGGTGCTGTTTGTACTTTTCCGCGTATTCTACTCTACCATTTGCTTGCTGTATATTCAATATAGTGAACGTGAAAGTGGAGTGCCATGGTCGGAATCGTCGCAGCAATTGAAATTTGAATGTCGCATTATTTAGTGATTGGAATATTAATGAAGTAGCGTAGCGTATCTTAAGAGCCCCTGATCGAACGAGAACGAGAACGCCAGTTTTAAAGCGAGCCTCATCCACAACCTAAAACTACTCCTGAGCCTGAGCCGCAGCTTGAATCGGTGGCAGGTTGGATCGGTGGCAGCGCCGGCGCTAGGTTCAGCATTGTTCAGCAATTTACAAAACAATGGAGTTTGCAATTTCATAAAAGGGCGGCTCACAATAAAAGCCACTGGCCCATTGTCTGTGGACAGCCTAAGCCTGGTCTCATTTGGGCCAGGTTTTGTAAGCAGCGAGTCTCTCGCATGTGTGGCCGGTGCTTTCACATTAGCAAACCTATTAGCATTTGGCTTATCCGCACTTAGGCTTAATATGGGGCATATATATATATATATATATATGTATATATATGAGTGTGTGAGTTTGTGTGTGTGTGTGTGTGTGGCAGAGGATGTGCGCTAGACTGGTTGTCGGCAAACGGTAAGTGAGCGAGAGAGAGAGAGCGCTGAGCTGAGCTCGAGATCATAGCCCTTTATCGCAGGTCGATCGTGTGCATGTCCTTTGTTTTGCCATATGCATGTGCAACAACTGCAATTGCAACAACAACAATTGCTTAGGCATTGTGCAACCTCTTGGGCCTCTCGGCTCACCACTTGTTCTAATCCCATCTCAGCAATGACCAAGCATATCGAATGGCCAAAACACAAACACAAAAGCACACCCGGTCACAATGACAACAAAAACCTGCAATCTGGCACGTCATCTGATCCCCTAAAACTGAGCCAGCAGCTCAATCGATCTATGGATATCCATCCATCACTGCTACTTGTTTTGTTTTATGTTTTTTTTTCTTTTTGTTGTGGGCCAATTGATCCACTCAAGATAAATTAGGCCACAACATTTGTGTAAGCTTAGCCCGGGGATTATCCTTGCAGCAATACCGGCCATATACTCTCTAGACAACATGTCTTCCGGTCGTTTATCACCTACATACCATACCATACCATATCATACCATACATATTCTACTTGACGTAGTGGACTGCTGCTGCTCCTCGCAATAATTCTGACGATGATGATTTCTTCGTTTATTGGTCGAACAAGGAACGTACATAAAAAGTTACAATACAAAAGTTTATTACAAAAATCCATGAAAATCAATGGAATGCGAGCAATAAAGAGCAACAAAAGCAACGGCAAACAACAATAAACAAGATGGTGGGTGGAGGGGGTGTTGCTGTGGGTGTGGGTTGGGTGTTATGGGCATGTGTATTGGGTGGGTTTGTTGTTATTGCTTTTGCTGCGGCTGCTGCTGCTGCTGTTGCTGTTGTTGTTGTTGTAGACTGCAATTATTAAAATAATGTCCACAGACCATTGAGTTCATAACGCGAATGAGGCCGCAATAAAATAAATAAATGAAGAGGAACTTGTCCTCAAATGAGCCATGCAAATGTTGTGATGACCAAGCGACAAAACGAGACGAGATGCGAGGCGGATGAGATGAGATGGGATGAGTTGAGCATCAACTACAACAATAACAAGGATAAGGAGAATAACACCACAGTCAACAGCCATATCATTGCCGAACGTCAATGTCCTCGTGGGTCATTCAGTCAGTATTGAATTTTTTTTTTTTAATATGGGAATAGCAAGTAAAGCAGGGATCTCTATTTTATTTTTTATTTTTTGCTTTTTTTATAGAGTTTTGTCTGGCATTGAGGGTTGGGCTTTGTGATTGTGATTGCTCGATTTGGCATGTGGCCTGGCAGAGGAATTTGGAGCCAGCTGTTTGCACACTTGAATAAAGTTCGTTGGCAAGGAATTCTGTTTTACAGAAACGACAGTAAAATGTGAGCTAGAAATTAAGCATATTTAATGTGAATGAATTTTATGGAAAATGCAATCTTAAGTAAATACCAAAATACACAAGTTCACTTTCTATCTTTATCTTTGCCGATTTGTCGATACAAAAAAGAAACCATATACAAAATATATAAAAAGATACACACTTTTAATTGGCGAGTTTGAAACATGTTTTCCTACGATACTAAATATTTTCCTGGCTAGGGCGACATAATCTGTCATGATGTGCTTTGAGGATTATTTCTCATTATCACAAAATCGGCAGAGTTCGAGACTGAACACATTTAATTTAATTTGTTTACGAGGTAGAGGCACATACCGACTTCAATTGCCACAAATGTCTTTCTGCGTTGCTTAGTTGTTGCCGTATTGTGTGTCCCCTTATTCCACAAAACGGTTTTGGTCCTTTTAGGGGCCTCTCTTACCACACGAACTGCTGCAGAAAGGGCTTGAAATTAAACGGTACATATTTTATAAGAATTTATGAAAGTACACTATGAATACGCAGTTGGAAAAAATATTACAGAATGTTTACCAACAAATGCTGAAATCGTTTTTAAATATCAATATTGGTGACCCGAAAGCCCCATTCCCGCTTATGTGTAAGGGTCGTGCGGTGTGCTTAACCTGCAGGCAGTAGAGACATAAAACACCAAACAACCAACACCACGATACCAACACCAAGAGACCACCACACACGCATACACACGCACACACACACACACACACACACACACACACACACACACACGCACACACACACAAGTGACGTGAGCGACCCCGGGGCAAAGTTAAGAAGTTCAAGTGTATAATTTCGTTACAATTGGGACAGTTTTAGTGCTTCCCCGGAACTCGTTGAGAGTCGCGTCGGTGGCGGGGTGAAAAACTCGTAATCTCCCATTCACACTCACACTCGCACTCATACTTGTGCTCACACTCACAATCGTACGTGTCCGCCGGCCTCGTCGGGGTTCTTTGGTAACGCTTAAATGCGGTTTTGTGTTACACATGTGCGTCTAATTAGCGACTGTTTAACGATACAGACAGAACGGAGTTGGAGTTGGAGCGGGTCCTGAAACTAATACGGTTCCGGACCATGGCGGAAGTTGTTAACGAGCATGAAATTATTATCGAAATGCAATTAATAAGTGAGACAAACGACAAACAACAAACTACAAGCGACATGGACATGCATCGGTTCATGTTGGGTAAACACTTTTGACACTTGTCCTTTGTGTCCCTTGTACTTGCCCCGTTGCCACTGCATTGCACTTGTATATAGTTGCCACTGTACCCTGTCCCCATTGTTGATCTGTTTCTGTTTTGCAAGCTGACACTGCAGCACTCCAAGAAGAGCTCGCAGCCTCCTTTCGAACGAATTCCGGCGACAGCGTTGTCTTAAGTGCCACCGACACTTCCGTCAATCCGGTGAATCCCCTGGGGAGAAGCGAGCGACGAATGGACCTGTGGCCGGTGTGTCGCATATTCTAAAAAAACTGGCATACTTTGCATACGCCAAATCAAGACACAGGCCTTTATGTCATATGTGTGAAATGGTAATGGAATGGGCTTGCAAAAGAGGACGGGCAATGGGAACTGTGGCACATAATCGGGGCCAGTGGGTGGACAAATCGGCTTTGGAGCTTAAGGCGTAAATAATTTGGACCCCGACCACTTTGATAAGTGAAAGCTGCCGCTGTCCGTTTGATCCGCAAAGAAGACCCGACCCTTTATATTTGTTTTCACTTGGTCTAACAGCGAAAGAGTTCTTGCATTTGTACATCAAGAATGCAAAAGGGTTGCAAACTCATTTTAAAATATATATCTCATGTAGATATCTCCTGAAAATTAGACACTTCTCTCAATATGTATTCTAAGTACTTATCATCTGTGCTTTGGATATTATTAT